CTGTGGAATTTCCACAGCAGTTTTCTCCCTAACTCTTCACTGAGATTGCACTCTCTCTACTTTTTTTTTTTTAAAGCTGTCTTCCCCTAGACTAGAGCAAGTAAGTTCCTTCTCTATTTTGCCATCTTAAACCCCTTCCTGAAGTGTTAAATTAAAAAACTGGAGAAATGGTTTAGCGATTACCTACTATTATACCATTATAGTGTGCCTGTGCCTCAAGGGAATGGTGAATTCAGATACCTAAATTTCGTTAGAAATGATTTTCCACAGTTGTCATCACTCACTGAGCACTAATTGAAAGTTAAATTTGTTGTCTGTACACACGCTTTTGCACTTCTGGATACCTTACAATAAGTGTTGACATTTTGAATCTATATTTGAAAAATTTAATTTGAATATTAAATTGTTAAATTTTTAATATTTCATATCAGTAGATTAGATCAGAGAGGTTTCATGGTTGTTGCTATTTATACATTGTTAAAGATCCCTCAGGTAATATCAAGGCTGTTGCATATGGCCAGTGTCTTGAATTATAGCATAGAAACTTTAATATCTACTTCAGGAATGATAGGGGTCCTAAATAGGCAGTCAGATTTACTAAAGAAACCTAGAGTTTTCTTAGATTGCCAACCTTAGCAAGGCAAGAAATGTCAGGGTGACAGAGATAAGTGGCTCTTTTCAGATAGTTACACTGATTCTCTATATTTAAGATGCAAAAAAGCCTTTCCAGGAGCTATTTAATTAAGTGAAAGTAAGTCTATCCCTTTGGAAGTGAATGGTCCAGTGAGCAAACACATATCAGCAAGAGAAGGAAGTGGGAATTATTATGGGCTTCATAGGCACAGTGACACTTTATAACCCCATATCAGGGATCCTAAACAGCGATTGGTTGACAAAATTATCAAACTGAGTTTAAATTTGGGCAGGTACAAAATTGTCATGCAAAACTCCAGGACAGTGTGCCACTCTGAACTTCAAAGAGAAAGATAAGGAATCCTGGATTTGCAAAGTCCCTTTGAAGGCTTTTAAGGTAAGATGGAACAGCCTCTTTCCTCAGAACCAAGGATTCCTGTAGAGAGAATTTTGCATTTCAGCAAGGACATTGATTTTAGAAGTGAATAGCCCTTTATCAATTGATTTGTTTCTTCCCTTTTCAATTGTGATATCGTGAGTATGTGTTAAAAGAAAATAGAAAATTTTGTGATAGGGAATGCTAATCACATCTGATAAGATACGGCATCCCTGAAAAACTGGACATATTTTCATAGCCAGAGTGTTGTTGAGACATCATTATTTAGAAAATGTACACATGAGATAGGGTATATAAATATTTGAAAACTAAGGTATTCATTATAACATGAAAGATTAAAATAACATATACACAATTCACTAATCCTGAATTACTGTTATCTAGAAAAATATTTTTAAGAGCCTTAAACCTAATCAAAGTCATTTTCCAGTCTCACATTGCAAGGTGTATGTTATGAGATTTAATGAAAAAGGAAAGGTACACACATTTCCTTTTAAAAATAGTAACAATAGTGACATTAAAATGCAGATTCTTTAAGAAATAACCTGGATTGGGGAATTTGATTTAACACATTTATTCTGCATTTATTTCAAAATCTGGCTAATCCACACATTTGTAAACTGCACGAGTGCAGGCCTCCTCATGTTATTTCTAAGGATCAGTATCTGGCCACATTATGCCTTCATTTGTTAAATGAAAGAATGAATGTATTTGGTTTACATTGAATTTCCTGGACCCTGTAAAACCAGCTTTTGGTCTAGAAATGAATTGCCTTTGACATTTTCTTTCTCTATCTTGTGTTTTAAAGATTTATTTTATTTGAAAGTAAGAGTTACAGACATCTTCCAACCATGGGTTCACTTGCCAGATGGCCTCAAGGCCTGGGGCTAGGTTAGGCAAAGTCAGGAATGAGGAGCTTCTTCTGGGTCTCCCACATAGGTGGCAGGGGTCCAAATACTTGGACCATCTTCCCCTGCTTTTCCAGGGCTATTAAAAGAGAGCTGGATTGGAAGTGGAACAGCTGGAACACGAACTGGCACTCATGTGGAATGCCAGTGTTGTCACAGGCAGAGGCTTTATCCACTGTGCCACAACACTGGCTGCAATGTTTTTGACATTTGATGTTAGAGTTTTGAAAGCTAGATTAAAAAACTTCTACACAGAGTGTCTAGAGATTTATATTTATGTTATACTCAGTGTCCATTTTAAAAAAATCATGGTAACTTTGGGAAAAGAAAAAACATGTTACAGAAAAATTAGCAACCTGAGGTGAAAATTACATACTTACTGAGTCACCAATTACTTTTTTTTTTAAAAAAGATTTATTTATTTGAAAGTCAGAGTTATACAGGGAGAAGGAGAGGCAGAGAGAGAGAGAGAGAGAGAGAGAGAGAGGTCTTCATCTGCTGGTTCACTTCCCAATTGGCTGCAATGGTGGAGCTACACCAATCCAAAGCCAGGAGCCAGGAGCTTCTTCTAGGCCTTCCATGCGGGTGCAGGGGCCCAAGGACCTGGGCCATCTTCTACTGCCTTCCCGTGCTGCAACAGAGAGCTGGATAGGAAGTGGAGCTGACAAGACTCGAACTGGCGCCCACATGGGATGCCGGCACTACAGGTAGAAGCTTCACCCGCCATGCCACAGCACCAGCTCCCACACCAATTACTTTTGATAAAAAAGCAGACAATGGATTTTAAAAGCCCTCTTTGGAGTTCTGACAAAGCTTTAATTACACACCAGGTTTTACCATTCATTATTTGTTTGGCCAAATTCACTTGGCATTTGCTATATCTCCTTTCAAATGTGATAATAAATAGAATAATCTGAAGAGGGTTCATACAGTTCTGAAGCCTCCATTTCAGGCTAACACTTTCAGGTTGTTTCTGTAGTAGTCTTTCAACTCTGTTACCTGCCTTGGTAACAGTGAAGAGTGTCTCTTTGTGGTGGTTCTGTAGAAGAGCTTAGAGAGACAGAGAACTAAAGTTGCTGGGTTGCAGTTCATTTTAAAATTTTTACTTATTTATGTGAGGGTTGGGAAGAGTACCAGAAGAGAGTCAGAGACAGAAAGAGAGCTCCCTTCTGTGATTCAATCCTATGGTTCAAAAAAGCCAAGACCAAAGTTGAGTTGGGAGCTGGAAATTCAACCCACATCTCACACATAGGATAGGGACCCAATAATTTCAGCCATCACTGCTCTCTCTTATGGTGTGTGCAATATTGGGAAGCTGTAATCAGAAGCTGGAGCTGGGAATTTAACCTAGGCACATCCCATATGGGATGTGGGTGTCAACTACTAGGCTAAATACCCACTCGCTTGATTACAGTTTATAAATGGGATGCATGTAACTCTGGCCCCCTTATGGGTGCGCCCCTCCAGGACATGGTGGCTCCTCCAAATCACAGTGTAGACTGGCCTTCTACAGAATCTATGTCATAATTAGGTTTGGGACTGCACACAACAGCATAAATCCTGCTTAATAACAGCTGACTTTCAACATCTGAGCCCTAGAGCTCCACATTATACATGTTCTAGGGTCACCTAAGCCTCCTTTTAGTTTATGGAATTTTTGAAGGTCTAAGGATTCTTGGCTTCCTGCTGAACAACTACAAGAGGAAGTACTTTTTCTTCACAGTAGCTCCGGAACTGTACCTTCTCTCTTGTGAGGAAATGACAGTAATTCACAAGACTTGATGTTCATGGAAATTTTATTATATTTTCACTATTGCCATTAAATTCAGTCAAGGCCATTTTTGGCATGCAACATTGCAATCTTTAAATCCAGTAAGAGTGCATGCAGTAGGAGAAAAGATCTTTCATTTCTGTAGCAAAGGTCTCGTGATATCAAGAAAACCAATTTGTAATAAGTAGGAACTTAAATTTTTGATGCACATAGATTAGAGAATATCTATTCCTCTATATCAAAAAACACAGATTAGATCATTTCTGAATTTGGATTCCAACAAGGATGAAGTATTATGTTTTAGAAGTGCCACATCCAAATGGCTGTCTTTATTAAAGAAAGTGTGAGGTTCTGTTTGAACTAATAAGTGTTAATTCCTCACGTAATATTCACAAAGTGTCTTCTTTGTCCTTTGCATTGGAATCCAGTAGCGACCAGGAGACTTTCCTGGGCCCCAGGAGCTTATCATGGGGCCAGGGAACATGCAAATAACCAGGCAATTTTAAAGCAGTGCAGTGTGTTCTCAGTAACAAGTGCAGAGGCTGCTGGGTGTGAAAAAGTGCGAGACACCAACACTCTGAAATGGAGTCATAGCAGGTCTCTCAGAGAGGTCTGTTAAACCTTAGCTCCTCCTGAAGAACAGGTGTCATTATTATCACAGACAGGAAATTTCTGAAGCTCACATTGCAAGTAGCAGAGGCAGAATCTGAGGTTAGGTCTCTATCAGTGTCTTTTCCACTAGCCTAGGGGTTCTCAGGTCGCTTACTTCTCTGTCTTAAAGTCTAGTTTAGCCCAATTCTACAAATTTGGGTGGGGATTATAAATGCTTCATGTTTTAAGCACAATCTTATCACAATTAGTTAAGACTGAATGAAAACTGTTTAGGAGAGAGAGGGGGAAAGGAAGAGGGAGAGGGATGGAGGGGAAGGAGGAGGGAGAGAGGGATAGAGGGTGAGAGGGAGAGAGATCTTCTTATCTCCATGAACAGCAGAAGACAAAGTTATGGCCTTGGCCTTGTACCTACATGGCTGATGCCCTTCATTGGTACAGGCAGAAAAATCTAGGAAGCACCATGAGGGCTGATCCTGATAAGTCTCCAAGATGTCTCCATAACCATACTAGGTATGTTCTAGACTCTTCTAAATCTACTAATGTTGGATATACACTCCTTATCCTGGAAAAGTGCAAGTAATCAGAGACCAAAGTAAAACATCACTGTGGTTTTCATCTTGTAATTTATAAGTAATTGTTTTTTTTCTTAAACAGCCATTAATTATTATTCCTAAAGAAAATGAAGATAATTATATATCTTTGCATTTGGGCAGTGGCATGGGCCATTCCAGTAAGTATGCCTTTCTCAGGAAACCTTCTTACTTTACTATTTATTTTAAACTAATATATATATACCTGCATATATAAATATATATATACACACACACACACACACACACACACAACCTCCTTAAGACTTTGCAGATAAGCTGAATCTAAATATCTCAACTTACATTAAATATATTACAACATATATATATATATAGGGTCTCAACAAAACCCAATATGCGCTTCAATTCATGCTTACATTCTTTCAGTTGAATGTCACATCTTGTCAGAAGGATTATTATTTAAAAATTTTGTTTAGATTAACTTATATTCAAGGTTCAGGAGTCATGAGGACTTTGATTATCTTTGCTTCATCCATGGTGAATTTCATTCTATCAACAAAGCAGCAAAGTCCTGTGTTGTTTAGGGAATGTTAAAGGATGAGTTATATCACAAAATAAGGTTTCTAAATAAATGAGAAAACTAATGTTTCACTGACAGAATTATTCTGCTTGTGTTCACTGCGGATAATTTGGAGTATATAGCTTAACAATAAAGAAAATATGGGGAAATTAATTGTATTAGCCTTCATATTTAATGTTTTCATAATACCAAGCATTTTGGTATTTACGTGGTTGAGGATTTACTCAAGGATTCCCAATGGCTCCTGCAGAGTGTAGAAGTATTTTTATTTGGCTTTGCTTCTGCATTGGCTCTGTTCACACCTACTCATCTCATAGAAGTTTTGACTAGGATTGTATGTGGAGTGTGTCTTTTACTATTGCAAGTGGCTTAATGTACAGAAACACCAATGATCTATCTCCTCATTTTTACAAAAGACTATTCTCCTTCTGCAGCTGAATAGTGGTCTGGTCAATATTTTGTTAAAACTGAGAATACCATAATGAGAAACACCCTTCTGTCTAGTTTAAATTCTACATAAACCTTGTAACAAATCACTTCTCTTTCCTATGTGATTAGATCCTATTGTTGGCCTTTGAGTTATGATTTTTTTCATAATTGAGGAAAAAATATGGATGTGTATGTTTGTGTCTGTAGTGAGCAACAAAGAATATTTAGAATATTCAATATTTTCGCTTTCACAGGTTCCTGAAATTAAACCATTGGAAAGACACACTGTTGATAAATATGTAGGTTTACATCTTCTTGCAACACCAAAAGTGCCTATACAGGTATAGTATATAAAATGTATTTCCTTTTTTTTTTTTTTTTGACAGGCAGAGTGGACAGTGAGAGAGAGAGACAGAGAGAAAGGTCTTCCTTTGCTGTTGGTTCACCCTCCAATGGCCGCTGCAGCCGGTGTTCTGCAGCCGGCGCATCGCACTGATCTGATGGTAGGAGCCAGGTACTTATCCTGGTCTCCCATGGGGTGCAGGGTCCAAGCACTTGGGCCATCCTCCACTGCACTCCCTGGCCACAGCAGAGAGCTGGCCTGGAAGAGGGGCAACCGGGACAGAATCTGGCGCCCCGACCGGGACTAGAACCCCGTGTGCTGGCGCTGCTAGGCGGAGGATTAGCCTAGTGAGCCGCGGCGCCGGCTCCTTTTAATTTTCTATTTCCAACTTGTTTTTAGATTCCATTTACTTTCCCAAAGTGGTCACTAATTTTTGTGGTTCACTTTTTTTTCAAGATGAAGCCCATAATCTTTCAAAAAGTTTCATTTATTTGAAAAGAAGAGAGAGAGAGAGAGAGAGCGCTCCCTTCCATCAGTTCACTTTCCAGCTGCCCACAAGGGCCAGGGCTGGGCTAGGGAAAATCCAAAAGCCAGAAATTACATTTAGATCTCCCATGTGGGTGTCAAGGGCCCAAGTATTTTAGCCATCATTTGCTGCCTTCTCAGATGCACATTAGCAGGAAGCTGGAATCAGGAATGGAGCCAGGACTCAAATTCAGACAATTGGATATGGGCTGCAGATGTCTTAACTGGCTTGTTAACCATTCTGCCAAGTGGCCACCTGAATACTCCTAATTCATTCTGAACTATTTCTCTTTTTCAGCATGAGTTAAATGCCAATGACACCTTCAGAGAAAGTGATATTCCCCTGAATGAAAGTGAAAGAGGAAGACAAGAGTATATCAAAGACAGTTACAAAGGAGAAGGGAATGGCTCTGAGTGGGCAGAACTAGGAGTGAAGAATTCTTCCACAGATTCCACTTTAGCTGATGAAGATGGGAATATTGGGAATCAAAATGAAGGCACAGAAAAGCCAGAGATTTATGTTAGTGATGAGATATATGGAAATGAAGTTAACAACACAGCAAATGGCATTAGGGGACAAGTTAGCATTGTTGACAATGCTGGAACAGCAAATGAGAGTGATATTAATGGAAGTACTGATAAGAACACACAAAATGGGGACATTGGAGATGCAAGTCAAAATGAAAATTCCACTGTAATCCCAGAAAATGGAAATAACAGTACACATAATGAGGATAAAATAAATGGGAATTCCTTAGGTAATGAGGGTGACACAAGTGCAATAACACCTCCTGGAGAAGGTAAGAGAAATGGGGATACTGAGGCTGAGGTAACACCAGGCAATGGAGAAGATGCTGGCCTGGAAAATTCTGATGGGGCTCCTAGTGGAAATGGAGAAGATGAAGATGAAGGCCAGGGCTCTGGCAATGGTGGAGATGAAGAAACAGGGAATGGAAGAGAGGGCAGTGGTAACAGCAAGGACCAGAAAAGTCAGGGTCATGGCAATGAAGGTGAAAATGATAATGGCACAGGTCAAAATTCAAGCAGCACTGAAGACAATGGCCTTGAGGACAAAGAAGTTTCCATAAATGACACTGATGGGGACAACACTTCCAGGAGTGAGGAGGGCTCAGATGGTTGCCAAAGAGTAGAGGACACCCAGAAATTCAATCATGGAGAAAGCAAAGGGCTGGAAAATGGAGTCATGAAGGAATCAGAACCAAGCACTGCTGGGAAGGGCCAAGTTAAGGTTAGTTTGTGAAGTGATTTCTTTCAGTGACAGTTTAAATTCTTCCCCTCAAGTCACTTGTGGTAGCACTAAAATAAGTCATGGCAAATATCCATTATTTTTGCACCTATAATCCTCAAATATTTGAACAATTTTTGAAGTCAGACATTTCTGAACATTCCATTAAAATTTTAGAAAAGTCTTAGGTTAAATTATGGATCCATTGTGTAACTGTTTTCAAAAGTTCCTACTGCCTGCTTGTTGTAGAATCTAAATACCAGAATACTTACAAATACTTACTAAAGAATGTTTTCATGAATAACTGCTAGTGAAATACTGAAAGCTGAACTAAACTCCAATTTCTGTGGTCACATTTCCCGGTAAAGCATTCCCCAGAGTAATACAATTTTGCACTAACTATTCACTAATCAATCATTCTTTCCTTCACTATTCCATAGGGGATAGAAATCAAAACTCCCAGCAGTGCCATCAGAAATAACATTACAAAAGAAGCTGGGAAAGTCCACGAAGACAGAGAAAGTAAAAGACAACATGGAATGATCATGAACAAAGGGAATGTCAAGACACATGGAGACATTAATAGCATACAAGAACCCGGTCAGAAATTGGTACCTGGAAGTAAAATGGAACCCAGCAAACCAGGTAGTACCAGCAACAGTGATGGGTATGACAGTTATGATTTTGATGATGAATCCATGCAAGGAGATGATCCCAATAGCAGTGATGAGTCTAATGGCAGTGATGATGCTAATTCAGAAGGTGATAATGATAACAATAGTCAAGGGGATACTTCCAATAACTTTGATGAATCACAAAATAAAGACAATGACAGTGACTCTCAAGGAGAAGGAGATGATGGTAACAGTGACAGCACATCACACACTAATGATAGTGACAGTAATGGCAATGGGAATGATGATGATGACAGCTCAGACAGCAGTGATGGCAGTGAAACTGGCAGCAAATCAGACAGTACTGACAGCAGTGATAACAGTGACGGCACTGACAGCAGTGACAACAAATCAGACAGTAGTGACAGCAGTGACAATGACAGTAAATCAGACAGCAGTGACAGTGACAGCAGTGACAGCAGTGACAGTGACAGCAGCGACAGCAGCGATAGCAGCGACAGCAGTGACAGTGACAGTAAATCAGACAGCAGTGACAGCAGTGATAGCAGTGACAGCAGCGACAGTGACAGTGACAGCAGCGACAGTGACAGCAAATCAGACAGTAGTGACGGCAGTGACAGTAGTGACAGCAGTGACAGTGACAGTGACAGCAGTGACAGTGACAGCAGTGACAGTGACAGCAAATCAGACAGCAGTGACAGCGGTGACAGCAGTGACAGTAGTGACAGCAGTGACAGCAGTGACAGTGACAGCAGTGACAGTGACAGCAAATCAGACAGCAGTGACAGCAGCGACAGTGACAATGACAGTAGTGACAGTGACAGCAAATCAGACAGTAGTGACAGCAGTGACAGTAGTGACAGCAGTGACAGCAGTGACAGTGCCAGCAGTGACAGTGACAGCAAATCAGACAGCAGTGACAGCAGTGACAGTGACAGCAAATCAGACAGCAGTAACAGTGACAGCAGCGACAGCAGTGACAGCAGTGACAGTGACAGCAGTGACAGCAACAACAGTAGTGACAGTGACAGCAGTGATAGCAACAGCAGTGACAGTGACAGCAATGACAGCAGTGACAGCAGCGACAGCAGTGACAGTGACAGCAAATCAGACAGCAGTGACAGTAGTGACAGTGACAGCAGTGACAGTGACAGCAAATCAGACAGCAGCGACAGCAGTGACAGTGACAGCAAATCAGACAGCAGCGACAGCAGTGACAGCAGTGACAGCAGTGACAGTGACAGCAGTGACAGTGACAGCAAATCAGACAGCAGTGACAGCAGTGACAGTGACAGCAAATCAGACAGCAGCGACAGCAGTGACAGCAGTGACAGCAGTGACAGCAGTGACAGTGACAGCAAATCAGACAGCAGTGACAGCAGTGACAGTGACAGCAGTGACAGCAGTGACAGTGACAGCAGTGACAGTGACAGCAGCGACAGCAGCAACAGCAGTGACAGTGACAGCAGTGACAGTGACAGCAATGACAGTAGTGACAGCACCTCTGACAGCAGTGATGACAGTGACAGTCAGAGCAAGCCTGGGAATGGTAACAACAGTGATAGTGACAGTGAGAGTGAGAGTGAAGGTAGTGATAGCAACCACTCAACCAGTGATGACTAGAAAAAAAAGAAAAATTACCAAGATTCCTCTTGTGCGAATTTGGTGAGTAATTGATAGGAAATAAAGATTTCCATGAAGGTAAAATAAAGGGGAGAAATATATGGAGGACACAAGGAAACATCCAGAGAAACAACAAGGGGAATCAAGGCCAGCTGTCATACTGTCACACTTGGAATCAATTCTCACTTCCCCTAGAAAATATGAATAACTTTTGGTATGTGTCTGTTGGAAGGTATTCATTTTCTGAAAAGGAGCAATTAAAATATCCTTTAGTACTTTGCACAGAAACCTCAATAGTCATTTACTATGTGATAGTCTCAACTTAGGTGCAGGCTGGGAGCATTACAGAATGCAGTGAACAAACACTTCTTGTAAACAACTCATGGCATTGCCTTAGTCTCCTACACATTCCAGAGAGATGGTCTACTTACTGCCAAGTACAAGATGCTGTTCTGTGATATCTGATTTGGTTATCGACTCATTTGCTCACTCTTTGGAAAAGACAAACAAATTTATTTGTAATGTGAAAAAAAACCACAACAACCATTTAATCAATCTGGGCCATGGGAATACTTTCTTTAACTATCAAGTAGTGACAAATTATGGAAATTCTAAAAAGTGCTGGACTATTTGAAGGCTGGATTAGACAACAAAACCAGATTTTCAACATCTTGTTACTGCAAAGCAGTGGAAATTTAGTGCGAAGACCTAAAACCATTGGCAAGCCAGATACCATGCTTAGAGCAGTCTTGCTTCCAGTTGTCTCTCTCCAGATATTAAACTTCCAAGTATTACATAAATACATGAATGAACTGGAAGATGGGGCCTTTATCTGCATTCAAAACTGTATTGAGTGGTATCAATTATACATCGGTTCCACCATGTCAAACTTGGTTCTTAGTTTCCTTTTAAACTTCAACATGCCAGAACTTCTAAACCATACCTTGAGACTCTGTTTTCACTATTAATCTCTTTGATAAAGCCAGTTGTTGTTGGGTAATGATTTTTGGAAAGTTCTCTTTCAGATTTGAGAGTCATATATGGTGTTTAAATCTGAATATAGGTAACTCAGCTTTTGCAAGAATGAAGATAATTCTTAGTCTTGGAATGAAGCCCAAATCCTGGAAAATAGAGATCTTACAGGAGTATGAGAATAGAAAGTGATGTATAAGAAGGTAGAGATACATATCATTTGTCATCCAAATGAGGATGTCACAGACAGTGAAAATGGTGCTAAGAGGAATTACACAAGGGCAGGAAGTATAGGTTGGGACTGTCTCAGGGAAGCTGGGGATACTACAACCATCACCCATAAACCTTGTGGCTATGTTTCAAGATTTAGCAGTGATGTTTGTAGTTTTCCTCTTTTTCCACTTAGACAATTATTTTAGATTTTTTTAAATCCCAAATGCAACTTCTTTAATGTTAATTTTAAACCAGTTGTTAGCTGACCATTTGTGTTCTAATGTTAGGCATATGTTACACAAAGACTGTAGGAAGGTTTTTTCCTGCCTCCTTCCTCCTTTTTGAAAGAATTTCTTAGGTAAGAGATTGATATAGCAAGGCATATTGCCAAAGGCTTTTAAAATGCTGCTATTCATAAGCTGCTTGGTAATTCTTTCTCAAAATATGTTCTAGGCTTTTCATTCCATTAGACCAGGGTGTTTTGCTCATTTTCATTCATAAAGCATTGCTTCTAGTGCCTGTCACACTTATTTCAAAGGATTGTCTTTGTAAACTGTACAAGATATGTAAATGAGAGAGAGAATGAATTTTGTGTTGTAATAAACATCTATTTATACAATTTTTTTGTTTTTTGTTTTTTTTTTATATATTTTATTTTATTTAATGAACGTAAATTTCCAAAGTACAGCTTATGGATTACAATAGCTTCCCCCCATTACTTCCCTCCCTCCCACAACACTCCCCCCTCCCACTCCTTCTCCCCTTCCATTCACATCAAGATTAATTTTCAATTATCTTGATATACAGAAGATCAATTTAGCATATATTAAGTAAAAATTTCCAGTTTGCACCCACACAGAAACACAAAGTGTATAATATTATTTGAGTACTAGTTATAGCATTAATTAAACACCTAAGAGTAATTGTGTATTTTTTTATTTTCCCTCCCACTCACTCCCCTCCCATCTCCCGCTCCCTCTCCCATTCCATTCACATCAAGATTCATTTTCAATTATCTTTATATACAGAAGATCAAGTTAGTATGTATTAAGTAAAGATTTCATCAGTTTGCACCCACACAGAAACACAAAGTGTAAAATACTGTTTCAGTACTAGTTATAGCATTACTTCACTTTGGACAACACACTAAGGACAGATCCCACATGAGAAGTAAGTACACAGTGACTCCTGTTGTTGACTTAACAATTTGACACTCTTGTTTATGGTGTCAGTAATCTCCCTAGGCTTTAGTCATGAGTTGCCAAGGCTATGGAAGCCTTTTGAGTTCGCTGAATTCGATCTTATTCCGACAGGGTCATAGTCAAAGTGGAAGTTCTCTCCTCCCTTCAGAGAAAGGTACTTCCTTCTTTGATGGCCCCGTTCTTTCCACTGGGATCTCACTCGCAGAGATCTTCCATTTAGGTCTTCTTTTTTTCTTTTTTCAGAGTGTCTTGGCTTTCCATGCCTAAAATACTCTCATGGGCTCTTCAGCCAGATCCGAATGCCTTAAGGGCTGATTCTGAGGCCAGAGTGCTATTTGGGACATCTGCCATTCTATGAGTCTGCTGTGTATCCCGCTTCCCATGATGGATTGTTCTCTCCCTTTGTGATTCTATCAGCTAGTATTAGCAGACACTAGTCTTTTTTGTGTGATCCCTTTGACTCTTAGACCTATCAGTGTGATCAATTGTGAACTGAAATTGATCACTTGGACTGGTGAGATGGCATTGGTACATGCCACCTTGATGGGATTGTATTGGGATCCCCTGGAATGATTCTAACTCCACCATTTGGGGCAAGTCTGATTGAGCATTTCTCAAATTGTGCATCTCCTCCCTCTCTTATTCCCACTCTTATATTTAACAGGGATCACGTTTCAGTTAAAATTTAAACACCTAAGAATAATTGTGTGTTAATCACAGAGTTCAACCAATAGTACTAGAACAAAACAAAGAGAAAATACTAAAAGGGATAAAGTATTACATTGTACATCAACAGTCAGGACAAGAGCTGATGAAGTCACTGTTTCTCATAGTGCCCATTTCACTTCAACGGGTTTCCCCTTTGGTGCTTAGTTAGTTGTCGCCAATCAGGGAGAACATATGATATTTGTCCCTTTGGGACTGGCTTAATTCACTCAGCATAATGTTTTCCAGATTCCTCCATCTTGTTGCAAATGACCGGATTTCGTTGTTTTTGACTGCTGTATAGTATTCTATAGAGTACATGTCCCATAATTTCTTTATCCAGTCTACTGTTGATGGGCATTTGGGTTGGTTCCAGGTCTTAGCTATTGTGAATTGAGCTGCAATAAACATCAATGTGCAGACAGCTTGTTTGTTTGCCAATTTCATTTCCTCTGGGTAGATTCCATGGAGTGGGATGGCTTGGTTGAATGGTAGGGTTATATTCAGGTTTCTGAGGAATCTCCAGACTGACTTCCATAGTGGCTTAACCAATTTGCATTCCCACCAACAGTGGGTTAGTGTCCCTTTTTCCCCACATCCTTGCCAGCATCTATTGTTGGTAGATTTCTGAATGTGAGCCATTATAACTGGGGTGAGGTGGAACTTCACTGTGGTTTTGATTTTCATTTCCCTGATTGCTAGTGATCTTGAACATTTTTTCATGTGCCTGTTGGCCATTTGGATTTCCTCTTTTGAAAAATGTCTATTGAGGTCCTTGGCCCATCTCTTAAGTGGGTTGTTGGTTTTGATGTTGTGGAGTTTCTTGGTTTCTTTGTAGATTCTGGTTACCAACCCTTTATCTGTTGCATAGTTTGCGAATATTTTTTCCCATTCTGTTGGTTGCCTCTTCACTTTCCTGACTGTTTCTTTTGCAGTACAGAAACTTCTCAATTTGATGCAATCCCAATAGTTAATTTTGGCTTTGACTGCCTGTGCTTCTGGGGTATTTTCCAAGAAGTCTTTGCCAGTACCTATATCTTACAGAGTTTCTCCAATGCTCTCAAATAATTTGACGGTGTCAGGTCGTAGATTTAAGTCTTTAATCCATGTTGAGTGAATTTTTGTGTAAGATGAAAGGTAGGGGTCTTGCTTCATGCTTCTTCACGTGGAAATCCAATTTTCCCAGCACCATTTATTGAATAGACTGTCCTTACTCCAGGGATTGGTTTTGGATCCTTGATCAAATATAAGTTGGCTGTAGAAGTTTGGATTGATTTCTGGTGTTTCAGTTCTGTTCCATTGGTCTATCCATCTGTTTCTGTACCAGTACCATGCTGTTTTGATAACAACTGCCCTGTGGTATGCCCTGAAATCTGGTATTGTGGTGCCTCCGGCTTTGTTTTTTTTTTTTTTTTTTTTTTTTTTTTGCACAAGATTGCTTTAGCTATTCGAGGTCTCCTGTGTCTCCATATGAATTTCAGCATCATTTTTTCCAGATCTGAGAAGAATGTCTCACAAATTCTTTTCATTCTAATGAGTTTGCAAATAACCCCTCCATCACAAAATCTAAAATCTGTTATTTCTTTTTTTCTTTTTTTTTTTTTGACAGGCAGAGTGGACAGTGAGAGAGAGAGAGACAGAGAGAAAGGTCTTCCTTTGCCGTTGGTTCACCCTCCAATGGCCGCCGCGGCCGGCGCGCTGCAGCCGGCGCACCGCACCGATCCGATGGCAGGAGCCAGGAGCCAGGTGCTTATCCTGGTCTCCCATGGGGTGCAGGGCCCAAGCACTTGGGCCATCCTCCACTGCACTCCCAGGCCACAGCAGAGGGCTGGCCTGGAAGAGGGGCAACCGGGACAGAATCCGGCGCCCCGACCGGGACTAGAACCCGGTGTGCCGGCGCCGCTAGGCGGAGGATTAGCCTAGTGAGCCGCGGCGCCGGCTGTTATTTCTTTTAAAAGTTATCTTTTTCAATTGAAAAAGTACTATACATATACACACAAAATAAAATTTTCAAATGCAAGAGAAAAGTATACACAAACATTAAAGGTTCACCATTCTCAACTCCTAGCCCTCTATTTATCTTCCCTAGAGGCA